CTCTGCCTCCCAGAGTGTTGGGATTACAGGCGTGAGCCATTGTGCCTGGCCCAGTCTTAATCTTTAAATTAGCAGTGTTAGAAGCTTGCTTGAATTATGGTGCCCATTTCACGAGCGGGCACACTGAGTCTTAGAGAGAAAAGATCAGTTGCCGAAAGTTAGAGAATAAAGGTGATTTGAACCAGGTCTGCTGACTCCCGGTCGTGTCGATGGTGAACTTGCTTCTCAGGTGCTCTGTGTGTAAACAAGGCTGGCTCCTGCAAGATGGGGATCCCCAGGTCATTTGGCCGTTTGGCTGGATGGGAGTGGTTGGGGCATCAGGGGAAGGATAGCAAGAGATTCGAGGGGAAGCAGTTAAGGAGGGAGCCTAGGCCTAACCACAATTGCTGCCACCTGCAGGCTGCAAATCCCTACTGGACCAACAGGGGCGGTTCCATGTCCTTGTCTGGAGGTCGTTTCCGCTGCCCCTCCTGCCGCCACGAGGTGATCATGGACCGTCATGGGGTGTACGGCCTGCAGAGGAATCTGCTGGTGGAGAACATCATTGACATCTACAAGCAGGAGTGCTCCAGGTTGGTTATCCAGTCTGCTGCCCCCCGCCCTCCCAGGCTCCTTCTTCCTCCTCTACCTGCTCAGGATCCAGGCCCCCAGCTGGACTAGCTGCACTAGCCAGTTCAGAGAGCCATTTTTCTATTCCCCAAGCAGGAGCAGAGGCCCATATCCCCCCACCCTGCCTTTCCTGATTGCTCAGTGAATGAGAAAGGACCCATACATTAGGCTGCCTTCCTAGGAGATTCAGAGACAGAGATGGGGGAAAGACAAGATGAGAGAAGGGGAGAGAGGCACTAGGGCCACCTGAATGGCCCTGGTCAGCAGAGAACGCTCCTGGTGAGATGACTAGGGCATCTATACGGATAGCAATGGCTCTTCTCCTTGGTGCCTGGAGGCATAGTGCCAGGCACTGGGAATGCTTCATCATCCAAGCACCAAGCCTCGAAGTAGCCCTGTGGACCAAGTGTGACTTTTTTTTTTTTTTTGAGA